TGGAAACATAACACTTGTCTTTTTAATGTTTTGGGTACTGTAAATGATGCCATTTAATAAATAGAATTTCATAATGTTAATTGATCCACAATGGTAAGAGTAACTGTTTTGTTTAGTGAATCACTTGACTAGATAGGGGCTACCAATAAGATAAACAAGACTGCCTGCAGTCTTCACTATGCCTTTTCTAAGAACAAACTAACAAAACCCACCATCTCGCATCTTCCATACTATAGAAAGATGGACAAAAGCTATACACCACTGTCTTTATCTTGGCTGGAACATAAGTGTTCTATCTTTTACCTTATCAGTAATAAAAATAAAAGATATCTTTTTCAGTGAGAATTGTCAGTCATCTGAGGAATCACTTTCAAGGACCAAAGGGACATAGAAGTTTATTTTAAGGCCCAACCACATAGCTAAGGTGGAACCTTCCTCAGTGACTCTCCATGTACACTGCATAAGCTAGATTCTAGTCAGCTTGCTTTGTTCATCTCAGGGGCACCATTTCTTACTCATCTCCTTGTGAATATGCAGCAAAAGACTTCAAAAGAAATTGTGTAAAGTAGAATGAGACCAACAGTGGCAGTGATTAATGTCTTTTTTGTTTGTTTGTTTGTTTGTTTTTAATGTAATAGTGTAGATCAAATCCAGGACCTCCCATCTTCTTCCTAAGCACTGAGCTATGAGCCCAGCCCTCTCTGAAGTCTAGTACGTATGGTGTATGATGCATGCGTGTGTTGCCATACCATGAGACCGCTGTTCCTGAGCTCTTAGGGGCCTCCTTCCCCACGCAAATCCTCCTGTGTGCAGGCCTGTCATTATTATCTCTCTCTGCCTATCCCATGGAACTCACTGACCACTGGCTCCATACACTTTCCAGCTGCTTCTTATTATTAGTGCTAATATAAAAGTGAAAGGATCTTTCAAATAGTTCCTGCAACAACTAACTTCATGTCCTATCATAATTCAAAAAGGTAGTAAATCAGGTGTCTCATAGTCCTGAAAGAGAGTTACACTTTCTTGATGAGATCCTCCTCTGTGCTATCATCAGAGCACAGGAAAACAGTCACCATTTCTGACATCAGAGAAACCAAGACTGCAGACTAGAAAGCGCAGGTGGGTTCCATCTGTCACCCAGCACAGGCAGAGGGATGGCTCCGCTCCGGCTGTGCCCTTCCACACTCACCTCCCTCTTTCCTCGTCTCCTCAGTGCTCCTTCCCTTTGGCACCGCGAATGCTTCACCTTTCCTATACTGTACCTTTACAGATGGCTAAGAGTGACCCCTTACTGTTCCCATCTGTCACCAAACAGCAGTCCTCTTGGATCTCACACGCGCACACACACACACACACACACACACACACACACGCCTCAGAAGGAACTGAGTCACTATGGGACTGCAGAGATGCCTCAGAGGTCTAGAGCATCTGCTGCTCATGCAAAGGTTATAATCTTGGACCCATATGGCAGCCTATAACTGTCTTTAAGTCCAGTTGTGGGTCATACATGTGGTACATATACATGCATGCAAGCAAAACAAGTATACACAAAATAAAATAAATATTTAAAATAAAAAGATGGAGCCGGGCGGTGGTGGCACACGCCTTTAATCCCAGCACTCGGGAGGCAGAGGCAGGCGGATCTCTGCGAGTTTGAGGCCGGGCTGGACCGACAGCTTCCAAAACAATACAGAGAAACCCTGTCTCGTAAAACCAAAAATAAAATAAAATAAAAAGATGGTCGTAGGATGCAGAAGGACTCTCGTGGTTACCCTCCTCTGTGGTGGAACCTGTTCTGTGGTTTCCTGCATAGAAACAGCCTATGCCTGCTGCTATAGTTTATTTTCCTGTTGCTGTAGTAGTAACATGTGAAAGTACCCTGGCAAAGGCATCTTAAAGGAGAGAGGGTTTATTTCAGCTCACAGTTCCAGGTTATAACCCATCATAGAGAGGAAGTCACATTGGCAGGAGCTAGAGAGAGCTGTTCATATTGCAGTCATCAGGAAATGGCAATAATCGATGCTTGGGTGTGTCTACTCAGTTCTCCTCTTCATTTATCCAGTCCAGGATCCCAGTAAGAAAACAGTGCCTCCCACAGTTAGGGGTCTTCCCACCCCAATTATGTAATGGAGACAATCCCCCAAGAAGCCCATCTCCATGTGATTCTGGGTTCTGTCAAGTTGACAGTTAATGCCTGGAGAGACCTCTGACTTGCCTTGGGAATGGATTGTGACCCAGAACAGAACTCAAAAGTCACTACCATTGAACACTTTGCTAAAATGTGTTCTGTGCTTGGTAATGATTCCAAGAGTTGTCTTCACTGCATTAAGGGCTACAGATTTCCAGGTGTGCCCCTGTGAGCTAAGAAGCTCACTGATACCACCACCCCCAGGAGGTGTGGCTTATTTGTACCATCCACAAACAAAAGCATACCTTTTGACCAAAATAATGACCTTCTTCATTTGATGTAGAAGCAAATGCACAATGATGACGCCAGATGAAAACTCCAAAGCACAACAGTAGCTTTCTTCAAATGATCCCCTTTGAAATCACCTATTTCCCATCCTAACTGTAACTTGACTAATTGCCTAATAATTCCCTTTAAATGTCATTTTTTCTGAAAACATCAATTCATTAGGCCTGGTTTTCAGGTTAAAAAGTCCCTTTGCTTCTTTGAGTGTCCCCTGCCTCTTCTTCCCACATGCCTACTGCCTGAGCCGCACTCTAATGACATGAGCAGAGCGCCTTCACAAATGTGTTCAGCAGATCAAGGCGTCTCTTCGTGTCTGCAGCATGAGTAGAGGAATCCATGTCCTTGAACAGTACCTGTCATTGGAGAGTTCTAAGAACATTCTTTTAAAAGCCAGTTTCCGTGCTGTGCCCACGAAGCTATGATCACAGCCACCTTATCCCCTCCCTCAGCAAGAGGCATGCTGTACTTGGCATGGAGAGAGGCTGGGCTGCATGAAAAATCAAAGCATGGATGTGGGAGTCCACCGTTGCCTAGGAAAAACAACTGCGGTAAAACCCTTCTCAAAGCAGTGGTCTTCTTTTGGGTACCACAGTGCGGCCACAGACCCTGTATGGTGGGAGAATATGAGTTGTTTAATGCTAAACAAGTCTGCTGTGTCTGTTTCAGGGAACAAGCTTGTTTCCGGAAACACAGCTTGTGCCTCACCTGTTCTAGCAAAGGGGAAGTATCTAGGCTACTAAGCATATTCTAGCATGTTCCCCAGTATTCTTCCCTTCTATAATCTACCAGCTGAAAATTTACAATTCCCTTTCATTTTTTTTGAAGGATGATTGAGTGTCCAACTTTCAAAAGTCAAGTCTCTTTGCCCAAATGCTGATATACCAAAAACGAGTCAGCACAGGAATTCCATGTTTCTTGTCACTTCGAAAAAGTTAGAGAACAGGCCTAGATCTTCCATCCTGAGAACTTCCTTGGACCAGTGATATATAGAATAATAAGAAAAAAATCAAGAGGATCACCTGGAAAGCTAGAGGGTGACAGTCTGTATACCAGGGTCACTGCAGAGGGAGGAACACAGGGAACAGACAGCTGGTTACTAGGCGACCATGCTATTTCCATGGGCGTTTTATGAGACCTAGTTTTGAAGGCATGGACATGAACGAGTGCACCATTGGGAGGTGGAGAGAGTAGGACTCACTTACAAGTGAAGAACTAATTGCACAGCAATCCTGCCCAACCAGCACTTTTCCTGTGAGCGATGGGCATCTATTTCTGCTTACCCCAGATAGACAGAGAATGACAAACCAAAGAAACAAATCCACCCAAGTGCAGCTTGGTGAGGCAGTTTGTTTGACTGGAGTGACATGGCATGTCGATGTACCAACAATTACAAAACCTACTAGCTTCTCTCCCTCTCCTAATAGTGTATCCTTCCAGGACCTGGTGATTCCTCCCTCCTCCCATGAGGGAATGCTACTGGGCCCAATCTTTTATGTGGGTGGTCACAGCTGTTCTGATTTCAACACAGCCATGCCATGTTCAAAGGACAAAGTTCCACAACATGGCCGCAGGGGGGTGATGAGCAGAGATGCATTCCATCAAGGTCATCCAAGGGCATTTCACTTGAAAGTTTCCTTTAGGCTGCTAAGATGTTACTTCCCTCTCAGAGCCCCATCCTCTCTCTTTGGACCACCACGCCCTGCCAAGCGAGGTGATGCCTCTACAAAAGGGTGGAGACTACAGAAAGATGCCCTCTTGTGTGGCTGGAGTAATGAGAGGCGCTGGCTGCTACTCACCAGTGCCTTTCAACGGTTCTCTGAGAGGCACAGGATTCAAGCAACAGAGAACAGGCAGAACATCTCTGCCCAGAGCACAGAGCCTGAGGGTGTACATTGAGCTTGAACCAGGCTTTAGGGCTAATTGATCTATGTGTATACAATTGATTTCTATTTATCATTCTTCAAATCGCACTCTGAATTGCTTTGGGATAATCTAGGATTTGAAATGATACCCTCAAAGAACTATAACACGTAGAATTAGTTTTCTTACTGAACAACTAAAATTCTCTGAGTCTTTGGCTTTCTATGCCTTTTTATTCCTCTGGCCTCAGCTGCATTGCCTAAGGAAGTCAAAGATACAATCAACAATGATATCGTTGTTCTTGAATTCCTAGATTATTCTGGGTATTAATTAAGACTGTCCTGACTGCTTTGTGTGTGTGTCACTCACCTCGTGAGGTAAGTGCTTCCGTTAGACCCAACTGCAGATGAGAAAATGAAAACACAAACAGACAAAACAATTGTCCAGGGTCAAACAGCTAGCAAGGGGCAGGGCCAAGGAATGAGCACAGCCAGCCTGGCCCTCGGGACTGAGTCTTCAGTCACTACAAACCTCTCCCCCATCTGAACCCCTGTGAAGTGTAAATGGAATTCCAAACAGGAGTGTTGCCTTTAGTCTTAGATGGCGCTGAGCTCTTAACTGACTTCACCTTTAACTATTCTGTTTTTCCCTCCCACACTCTCAGACGATGGAAATGCTTAAGCAAGCTAAGGTAGTGTGAGACCTCACCATGTAAGTGTGAGCATGGCTCCTTGTGGGCACAGCTGTGTTTTGTGCGCTTCTGCCTTCAGTCCTGCATGTTTGCTCCGCTGTTCTCTGACCCCGCTTCCAGCGCTTGGCACTTGGGCCGCATGAACTGCTTTTTTAAGCCATGGACCCTGGGTCTTTGTTCCTGATTTTATACCTGAGCTTTACCCACACACAAAGTCTGGCACAGGGTAAAAACCAGAGAACACACGACTATGTCTGCCTGGTGTCTTCCCAGCAAGCTGGAAGCCCTGGGAATACAACAGGTTACGATTTTCGGGCAATAAGGCTGGGATTGTAAGCTTCAGAAATGGTAGGCACTCTCCATGCCTAACTGCAACAGACCACTCCAAGATGGAGAGCTCCAAGGGGGCTGCTTTACACAGGCCACGACCTTCACCAAGTACCAGACCTGTCTGGTGTTCTCTGAGGCCAGGGGTCTTAAACGCTTTGTCCATAGGAGTTCCTCACACCAGGCAACAGGAGTTCTGGAGAGGGGTGGGGGTCTTTTCATTTATTTATCTTCTCTGTGTACATAGTATATAATGAACAAACATGCATATGTGTGGAATAAAACACACTATAAAAGAGAAAGGATAATGACTAAGTTAGGTGTGAGTTAAAGCAGGCCTTCATTGTACACACACACACACACACACACACTACTTCTCTTGGTGTCCTTTGGCCCTACACAACCATATCTGTACTCTCGGTATATTTAATACAGGACAAACTGAATTTCTAAGATAAGAAAATTGATGAGAGGAGATAGCTGCGTCTAACAAGAGTATATCTGGAACGTTTGAAACATAGCCCGCGGGTTGGAGACACGGTCCTGTGGTGAAGTGCTTGCCTGGCGTCTGTGAGGCCCCAGGTTCAATCCCTAGTATACCGAGAGAAATAAAATACAGTCCTGCCTTGCATCTGCTCCCTCCACACACCTGCACCCTCACATGCCTGCACCTCCCTGACTGCAGTTCAGAGCCTGAAACCACCTCATGGTCTCAATTTCACTGAAGTGTTTCAGTGCGTGTTGAAGTTGTATATTCAATAGTTGCTTATTCTGAAATGATAAAATTTAAAATAGAAGATGCTCTCATGACATATGACCAAGAACTGCCCAAACAGTGTTTGCAACTCAAACTGTGCAGTGTTAAGAACCCAAACCATTGTTTAGACATGCAGAAAGCCAAAAGTTATTAGGGATGGACCTTTTGCTCTGACCCCTTAGCTCTGACTGGGACCATACAAGAGAAAATAGTTTGTCCCAGATGGAGTGGGGGCCGATGAAAGCCTCCCCCTCCTCCTTCCCTCAATGCATCCTATCAGTACCGGGTCAGCGCTCCTTTCTCTCCCACGGAATAACACAACAGAACTCCAGGGCAACTTTGTAAACATAAAAGTAAGCAACTCTGCATCCTCAGAAAGTGTCTCAGGTCCTTTCATGGCTCTGCCCCTGGAGACATCGGCAAGCTGTGGTAATGTGGCTCCCTGGATCGTAGATTCCTTGTTGGTAAATTCAGGACAGCTGACTGCCAGAAGCAGCCATGCACGTTTGCTTGCTAATGCCTTGGTTAACACCAACGTGCTCATTGGGCTGGTTGGTTAACATCAACGTGCTCATTGGGCTGGTTTGGAAACAGCTTCTACCTGAATTTTCCACTGTAACTTACAGGGAAAATAAGTTAGGTGTGCAAATGGGGACAGGCTGGAAAAGCCAGAGCTGTATCTGTTGTTAATAGAAGAAAAACAAGTCCAAAAGAGGAAAAAGTTACAAGTAAGAAGTAAGTGGGGGGCCTGTTTTACCCAGTCCTAACAAACTCATGTAGACATGAATGTTTCAGGTTTAGAGGTCTGATTTCTGACATCTGGAAACATTTCAGGAAATGTACAGCTCACCTGGTGTCTATTTCCTAGGGTACTGCTCACGAACTGAGCTCTAGAACACAGCAGCTGAAGGTCACAGCCTCGCTTTTCTAGTTGTTAACTTGAGGAGGCCAGGAATTCTGCAATGGAGAATAACCTAAAAGCCAAAAGGGCAGTCATCAAAACACACATGTCAGTGCCCACCTCATTTCTGAGCTACATCCCTTTATGTGTACACAACTATGAAAAGGCAAAGGCTGACCAAATATGTCATGTCCTTTTCACAGCAGTCTCCTTCCCATAGCAAATGCATGGTGCCATTTGGCAAACCTCTTATAGGGGACAAAGAATCCTCACTGATATTAACAATTCGGCCCATGTGAGTTTTAAATGTAACTTTTTTTTTTTTTGGTTTTACGAGACAGGATTTCTCTGTATTGTTTTGGAGGCTGTCGGTCCAGCCCAGCCTCGAACTCACAGAGATCCACCTGCCTCTGCCTCCCGAGTGCTGGGATTAAAGGTGTGCGCCACCACCGCCCGGCTTAAATGTAACTTTTTCCAAAGTAGGCTTCAGGAACCTTCCATGGTTCCTACAGTGATTCAAGGCTGACTAGGAGGAGAGGACGAAATGTGGAGCATCACAGAGATAATGTGGTGTTTACACCATAGGCTCAGAAGCCACTGGGTAAAATACAGCAAAGGAGAACCACTGTGACCTCAGGGAGCATTGCCAGAGTGGAATCTGAGCTCCAGTGTTGGTCAAGAAAGAGGCTTGGAAGAGGTCTGTCTGCAGGGAAGTGTCAAGGGATTCCTAAAGCTGTATCTGAGGACATTTTGTTTAAGACTGGAAATGCAACCTGTCCTGTGGAGTCCAAAGCAACTAGAAACTGTAGAAATACTCTACAGCCTCTTCCAGGTGCCATCAATGTCCTGGTGTTTCCACCTCTGCCTTGGGAGAGCCAGAGCACTCTCTGCAAAGGAAAATACCACACAAAGCCAGTCCCCGGGTGCTGAGTAGATGTCAGCTCCTTGCCCAATTCTTCTTTTACCAGAGCACTCCCTGAACTGGAGCTGGGAGTTAGGAAGGGTAGGGGTGTGTTTGTTTTATCAAGCAAATCCATCCTAAGCAGGGAAGGTCTAAGAAAATCACTGTCCTATTGAGACCTCAAGTGGCAAAACTGGGACCTGCAGGTGAAAAAGGGAGAGGAAGGACAGATGAGCTCAGGTGAGACCTTACCCCTGCCTGACCCACAGCCTGAGCCTGAATCCTTCCTAGGTGGAAGAAAGGGGCCGGGCGCTGTGCCTGAGACCTCTGAAATACCAGGCAGCGCTTGGTAACCTTTCACCCGGCCACCATTTCAGAAATAGATTCTTCTAAGCTAGCCAGACATGCCGCAGGGAACTCTACATACCTCAGTATGCACCGTGACTCCAGCACAGTTCTGGAACCTACTGAGAAGGTTCTAGATTTGTCCAGCCCTTTGCTTCTCTTTCCTAGGGGAGGCCTGAAACCAAACTGGGTCTCCAAGAATCACAAGAAACAGCCCACAGAACCTTGGGGTCAGCACACTCACACTTGTGCCCCTGATACTAGACAGTCCTGTGGGCTGGCCTGATGCCAGGGACCAGCGCCCTGAGCTACAGACCCTATTCTTGTAATTCCAAACAGACAGGAAGCAACCCTGCCAGCCGCAGCGCTGATTCTGGGGGCTTGCCAGTAAGTACATCATGCCTGACAGACAGGAGACTAAACTGTTTTCATTGTTCTCAACAAGACAAGCCCCTCAGACATGCCACAGCATCACCCAGAAGCTAGTTCCAAATGTAAAGGACTGAGGTCCAGACCGGGGATTAAACGCACTGGCAGTCTGTCCCAGGTGCAGTCCTGGTGACAGTGTGAGAGGCGACAGCCACACACTGATTTGCAAGACAGCAACTCTATATATTTCAAACAGGGCTTCTGGTGCAGCGGAAATCCTTTCTTCCACTAAGTTTCTGGTGTGATTCTGATGAGAGAGCCCCACAAGTCTCCCCTTGGACTGTTCTCTGGAGAAAGGAAGTGTTTTGGCCATCAGTCTAAAGTTGGAAACTTCTTCCCAGGCCTGGACGAGTGTAAAATGCCTCAGGTTCTCCAGGTCTGTGGATGGGATCCTGTTGTCCCTTTGAAAAATTAGTCCTTCCTTGTTGCCCCTGTAGGGGCAATCATGGTGAGGTGGTGAAGTGTGCCTCCCAGGCAGCAGTTGGGGGGGGTGGGGTGATGGGCAGATGGCCGGGTCCCTCGGAGTCTGTACCTTCACGGAGTGGGAGTCTCGCTGAGCACGGCTGCCCTTTCTTCTTATTCTCCTCACACCCACAGGGAGACCCAAAAGGAAGATTTATTGTAACGACGCTAAATTCTTTTTAATTAGTTTTTAGACTTTCAAGTTCTTGGCTGGGATGTAGGTCAGTTGGTAGAGAGCTGCCCCAGCCAGCAGGGCACAACATGTTCGAGCCCACGGAAACCTGGAATGAACGAGATAAGGGACAGATGGACAGCAAGACAGCATGGCTGATCAAGCTGCCGTTTAATGAAAGTTCTGTAGAGGCTTAAATAGGGGAATGTGACATTGGCCATGGGCGGAGGTTGTTAGACCGGAGATGCTGGGAAGTGAGACAGTGGCCTGTTAGGAGCAGGGAGTATTTGATGCACCAGAGAGCAGGAGATCTCAGCAGGGAGTGTAGGTGTTAGCCAGCATTGTTAAGCCATAGGTTACTCTGGTGCCTGGTCATTTGTGGGAAGGAGCCTGAGTTTTGAGATGTGCCCTGGAGTAAGAAGTAGATTCAACGACCTGGTCCCCAACAGAGATGTTGTTCAGCATGCATGAAGCCACAGGTTCAATCCTAGCGTCGGGTAATCCCAGCACTGGGGTCGTCCAAAGCTACATAGTGAGTTGGAGACCAATGGCTCCATGATCAATGCTTTACAAGGGGTGGGGGGGGTTATAAATACTCTCGGCCTTTATGGCTGTGGCATTAGGCACACTTAAAAAAAAGAAGTTCCTATTCATGATGATCTTGTGGCCACCTCTCAGGACTTCAGGAAGAACTCACCATTGTTCTTCTGTCCCGTGTGACTCCAC